ATTCGTATATGCTGAGGAAGCAATTGTTAAAGTTTTACTTTGATATAACTGTTATTTCATCATTTATTTTTAAAATATGATTTTGGTATGTTTACATCACTCATTATAGAAATGAGTTGTTCCGAAAGTACCTGCATTATGTTAAGCTTTAGTGTGCCTATATATATCGTTCCATGTTCAAGTGTATTGGCAAACTGATAAGCATACTCTCGCACTGTTTCAAGGTACTTATGTATGTCGCTCAGTATTCAGGTGCATGGAGAACCAGTAATAAGTATATGTGCCTATGTATAATGTATGATAACTGGTTGATCCTCCATGATAGAGATGAAGTATACAATGAAGCAATTATGAGTCATTTTCTGATTTTATGCATTCGTTTTCTAATTCATTTATCTGTTTTTTAAAAAGAGTACACAATGTATATTTTTGTTGTGTGTAAAAAAAAATTATACATTAATCTAATATGTTGTGATTTCATAATATTATTTATTGAGATATTTTATTTTACTCTCTATCACCCTCCAAATACTGAAGATATCGTTGCAAAGTGAGCGTGATATGAAAAAAAAAAAAATTTAAAGCTAAGCCATGATATTAATATTACTGTTTTATATTTTTGTTTTGTAATAGAAGAAAGAAAATTTAGAGTCTCTTATTATATGTTTATGTTTTATAATTAATAGATGTAACGTTTCTGCGACTATTATAACTAATAAAGTTAAATTATTTTATTTAATTTAAATCTATGTAATTTAAATAAGTATGTTTCGATCATTGCCCTATAAGACGAAATATGATCCGTGACAGCCCTTATGCAATCAAGTTTTACATGTCGACAAAACCATTGTGGATTTGGCTTATGAATGGAGGTAGTTATTATGTATAATTCTGGTTGGTGAATATCTTATTTCAATTAATGATTGTTTTAATTAATAAGTTTTATTTTATAGGATAATGATTACCTCTATCAAATGAAAATGGTCAGTTTGTCAATCCTAACTAATAATTGTTTTATGAGTAAATTTCATTTTGATGTATTGTAGTTTGAGATGTTTTAATTTGAAACTCATAGTTTTTTTTTTTTTGGGACAATTTAATACTTATATCTTAAAAATAAAAGAATAAAGAATTTTTTAATTACCAATACTCATTTGAATTATAAAAATAATAATAATAATATAACTTGTTTTCTTTACTCTTTTTTTTTTTTTTAAAAAAAAAAAGAAAATTACCATATAATTATATTCCATATCTCTTAAATATAAATTTTTTAATCCCCAATTCCAAAATTTTAGAAATTAACTTAGTGAATTTGGTATGATTTTTAATAAAACTAAAGAATTAAAAAAATATTATTTTATCTCACTAAGGATACTCAATACTAATTATTATGTAGGGCATTGCCTGGTTAAATAATGCCCAAGTTTACTTTAAAAAGCACATTGCAGTGTGCATGAATGAGTTGGCTTCGGTAGATTAGTGCTTAAATAATATAAAACGCAAGCTTTCCTTAATAAAACGATCATTTGTTTGATGAGAGAATATAGAGTTTAGGTACGAGTATGTGATGACGCGAGTCCACTTAAAAAAAATCTCTAATCTCGACTAATTATTCAATTAAAACAATCTAGTAATAATTAATTAGATTAAAAAAGTAATTGCACCGAATTGGCCAATTTGGATCTCATCATCCAACATCGCACGAGCTGGGGGTAATCATGAATGAATTGTAATATTTTATGTGTTCATTAATTCTTCAAAAATTTCCATTCTTGATTTACTAACCTCTCTCTACACTTGAATTAAGGTTGACCTTAATAGAAAATTCTAATACAAATCAGAAAGAAAACTATTTAATTCGAAGGTTAAAAATGAATTAAGAAAGTGTTGAGGGATTGCAATTTCTGAGTGGGTGGGGTATGGACAAACGAAAATAAGTGGAAGCAGACTGATTTGTTATTTTCTTAATTTAACTAAAAATTAATAATAAACAAATCAAGATATACTTGTACATATATAATTAAAAAAACCTCTATAATGCACGCACTGTACAGAATGCGATTTTTTTGTCCTGTTCAAACTTGCATTTTTTTTTTTTTATTTATTTATAAAAATTAAATGTTTTTAGATCTACCCTCACTAAATATAGTCCCACCACCACCACCACCGTCACCAAAAAAAATAAATAAATAAAGCATAAGAAAAAAAAAAAAAAAAAGAAGAAATAATAATCCAAAACCACCACCAAATTCTGAGGGAAACCCTCCATCCCGTGGAGCGAAGAAAGAAAATGGAGATCACAGACCAATCAGGGCCTTGTCAAAACTCCGTTCGCCGGCGGTTTCTGCTCGTCGTCTAGCTTCGTTTACGTCAGCTTCGCCCAATTTCGCCGAGTTTTCTAAATTTTTAAATCACAAGTAAGTCCACTTTTCTTCGGATTTGCCGGAATTCTGTGCCATCAGGGAATTAAAGCTTTTTAATCAAAACCCTTATTTTCCGGTCTTCCGAAATTCACAGCTCGCAACCCTAAAAAACTAGATAAACGCCACATCCTTTTACAATAAAGAAATATTAACAAGTCACGCCAACAATTCCTTGCTAGCTCTCTCTGTAAAGTGTAAAGTTCGCTCTGCCCCGTCATCAACCTCTTATCTTTCTTTAATTTTTCCACCTCCACTTTCTCTCAACTACAAATATGTTGAGAAATTGGGCTCGGAAATATGAGGATTTGACATCACTACTTACTTATCATTGCATTAGGTTATAAGTTACAGAGAATTTTCTTTCCCTTTTTAGATTCTTGTTCGACTTCTGTATACGTATCTTTTATTAGTATACTTCAGTGGGTTTCTCTAGCTAGCTATCTATCAAACTCAACTTATAGATCAGAGCTTCAAGAATGGCAGGGCTGAAATCTTCGACCGTCCAAGAGGCTGAAACTTACGAAGAAACAAACGAGAATTCTCAGCCGTTGATTCCAGGATTACCCGACGAGATTGCTGAGCTATGTCTCCTTCACCTTCCGTACCCTTACCAAGCTTTGGTGCGTTCTGTTTCTTCTTCGTGGAACAGAGCCGTTACACACCCTGCCTTCCTTCTCTGCAAGAAGTCCTTATCCTTGTCTTTGCCTTACCTGTTCGTTTTCGCTTTCAAAAAATCGACGGCCAGGATCCAATGGCAAGCGTTGGACCCCCGATCAGGCCGTTGGTTTGTGTTACCGAGGATGCCATGTCCAAAGGCTGTGTGCCCGCAGGCGTTTGCATGCGCGTCGATGCCACGTGAGGGGAAGCTGTTCGTGTTGGGGGGTATGCGCGCGGACACTGGAACCTCTATGCCAACCACAATCATCTACCGCACATCCACAAATCAATGGTCAGTAGCATCTCCCATGTTGACCCCCCGATCCTATTTCGCGGCCGGGAACGTCAATGGAAAAATCATGGCCGTTGGGGGAAGCGGGACCAGCATCAGCGATTCGATCAAGGCCGTGGAATGCTATGACCCTGAAAACGACACGTGGACGACGGCGGCTAGGATGGGGATGGGGTTGGCGCGGTACGACTCAGCGGTGATAGGAAAGAAGATGTACGTGACGGAGGGATGGACGTGGCCTTTCCAGTTCTCGCCGAGAGGGGAGGTGTACGACATAGAGAAGAACACGTGGGAAGGGATGAGCGATGGGATGAGGGAAGGGTGGACGGGTGTTAGTGTGGTTATGGATGACAGACTGTTCACGATATCGGAGCACGGGGACTGTCCGATGAAGGTGTATATTCCAGATCAAGACACGTGGCGTTACGTGGGTGGTGAGAAGTTCCCACGCGAGGCAATACAGAGGCCGTTCGCTGTGACGCAAGTGGAAGGGAAGATATACGTGGTAGCAAGTGCGCTAAATGTGGCAGTGGGAAGAGTGATTGAAGGTGAAAAGGGGGAGTTGAGGGCAGAGTGGAAAGTAATGGCTGCCCCAAAAGCGTTTAGTGAGTTTTCTCCTGCCAGTTGCCAGGTGCTTTATGCTTAAATCTCTGATTAATGTATTAATCATAATTATAATCATCTACCTTCAATATGACTTTATACCATGCTTTCTATGTACAAGGGTTTCTTGTATAGTTTTATTAGTAATTTGACTATTTTACTTTTTGAGAATTTCTATTATCATTACGTAAATAATTCTTCAGTGCAACATTAATGCTAATTAATGAAGATTGATTAGTTACTTAAGCGTATAATTATATACTTTTGCATATGGGTATACTATGTATATTACAATTGGGGAAAATCAGAAAGGCTTTTGGCCTATGACATTACCATGAGGATCATAATTGCAAGTAGTGAAGGTATCGCCACTAGTGCAAACAACTTGTGCGCAGCCGATCTTCAAGCTCTGCCTCCAGACTATCTGGGTATAATGCAAGCAATCTCTGTCATGGCTGCACGTATTCGTTCCATGATTGTAATAAATCTTCTCTGCAGCCCATGCGGCAACTGCATCGCCTGGTTTCCAGTCTTTGCCGCTTCCCCAGAAGAGATTCTCGCCGTAATCGCTGTTCGAATGTATCAGCTGGCAGTCTCGTCTCCGCTGGTTTGCCCACCAAGAAGCGAATTTGGCAAGCTTTTTGCTCCATTTTAGGGGCGGGAGACCAAGCTTTGTTCGCTCATTGTTGTGAGGTGCTAGAAACTGTTGAATGACTTTGTTACTAGTGGTGGGTTTGGGTTTTAATAGGCGTCTAGAATGTGGGAAATGATGGGTTGGGAGAGATGAAGATAAGTGAGGAAGAGAAGAAAGGATGAGGAAGCTTCCTAATAATAACCCACATGAAAACATGCCTCTCATTTCCATTGCACAAACAATCAGAGAGAGATATTGTTGTATGGATAGATCAGAAGATGATCTACTCATATATATATATATATATATAATGTAGAGTCAGTAGTTACAGCGATTGTTGTTGGTTTAAAGATAATTTAGGGTGGCAAAATAGATTTGCAAATATTAATGTAAAGAAATATAAGAGAATCATGTGGAGAGGGCGAATCATTTCACATGCTCAAGTGTTCGATTGAAGAAGATTTGAGGTGTAAAACACGTTGTTGAATATGAGGTGATAGATTGACTTGTATAACTAACAAATCTGTTTGCAATCATGATTAACAAATATCAAAATCTTAATTAGAATTACGACTCAAACGAAGTCCTTTGAGAAACCTGATTAGTTGGTAATTAATTTTTACATTAATTGTATTGTATCATTAAAACATACGAAATAATAATTGGAAATACAATAGGAATTATTGGAATTGAAGAAAACACATGGGTGTGAAGTGGCGGTAGGCTGGGGGGCTGGTGATATTTATTTAAGATAGATTTTGACTTGGTTGACTCACACATGATTCCATGTGCAATTGCTGCAAGATCAATTATTGAGGGATAACCTGACCTGCCTTCCCCGCTTCTCTATAATTTTTTTACCATTAAAGACCAGCCCGTAAACTTAATAGTTTGGGCTACTGTATTTGCTAAATATACTCTGTAAAGCAAGGTTTCTGTGATATATATATATATATATATATATATATATCTAACATCTTTCTCGTTCTAGGTTATTCAGAATTGAATAAATCTTTTTGTCTTTCATCCAAATCCAATTAATAACTTAAGAAGGGTTTTGGGCCCAAACAATACCACGTAAAGCCCATTTTCTCGCCCTCGGCCTCAATTGCTGCCAATATCTCTCTCTTCTTCATTTACAAAGACAAGTGCGCGTATCATCAATTACGCAGTAAAACCAGAATAAGATTCAACGCGTTTGTTTGTTTCTTCCATGAATACAATTCTATCTTCTCCCATTTTACCTCCTTCTAGATTCTTCCAGAACTCCTCTTTCTTCTTCCACAATCCAGAACAAGCTATATTTTTCCATGTTCCCGCGTTACCCATAGCTTTCCCCTGGTTTTGGATTCTCCATATATAGACTTGCAAACCCTCCTCAACACATCAAATATCCAGCAGCAGAACAGATCAATCCAGAGCCAAAAAAAGAAAACAAAAGACTAATCACACGAAATCGATAGAGGAAGTTAATTAGGGCAGAAGGATGTGTTTGGTTTTTGTGTGTGACGAGGACGAGAGGGTGATCGCCAGACAACTGGCGCCAGGGGCCTGCCCTTACTGTGGAGGCATGGTGCAGGCCCTAGACATAGAGAGCCAGTGGCGTTTCTGCTTCTTGCCTTTCTACTTCAAAACTAAGCGAAAGTTCTATTGCGGTCTCTGTACAAGACGCTTGGTTGTCCAATACTAGGCCTATTTTTCACTTTTGGGTTTTTCTTGTTCAGATTCTAACGCCAGACTTCAGTAATGAATCGTCTTTGTTGATATTTCTTTTTTGTGCATCTGAGGTTTCAGTTTCTCCATTTCTGTACATGAAGTCGGCGCTGCCGATGCTAACCTCTCTGGATATATGAAATTAAAGAGCTCGCATCGTTTGTATATTTGTAATTTTCTTGATTTCTGTATACGTGATGTGGGTAGGAATTTTATTTTTTGATTCATGAAGCTTTGTGAAAGATGGGAGTTACAGAATTCTTAATTTGTCTCTTGTGGTAACTTGGGTAATTTCTGGGAGTTTCAGAATGGTTTCTGGGTGGTGCTCAATTTCAACAAAAACTAAACTATATTTGTTACTGGCAACAAAATGTCTTTAGATTTATTACTTTAAAAAAAAAAAAAAAATTAATATAATGTTTGGTGATATAACGATATGTATTGAGTTTTTAAAGAAGAAGAAGAAAAAATATATGTAGTTTGTAAAATTAATATAAAACAATAAAAGTATGATATGAATCAGATTTTTTTTTTTTTTTCTTAACATGTCACATTTTCATTATTGTTATTTACGTCCACTTAAAAAAACAAAACATATATTATGATTTAGCAGGTACAAGATTAGAAAAATAATTTTGAACTAGTAAACATATAACTTTAAAAAAAGATGTTCAAATTAGGAAAAAAAAAAAAAGAACTTTCGAATAGATGAAATTTGATTTTAAAATGTTAAAGACAAACATTAAATAAAAGATGTTGGGGGGTGCGTTTGAAGGGAAGAAAATGTAATACAAATTATCTTTAATGAAAATAAAGAAAAAAAATTAACATTAGTTAGATTAAAAAAAAGAAAATTTTGAAGTCATTATTAAGAATATAATAGGTATCATATTACCAAAATAAATAAATAAATAAATGTAATAGAATACTTAAAATTATTTAAATATTATTTCGAAGACTTTTTATAATAAAATTAATGAGATAAATTTTACATGTTTAATTAAAAAAATTAAAAAATATTATTTTAAATTAAATTTATATATATTTACTCTCTAATATGAAACTAAATATATACTCCCTTACGTTGGAAAATGAAGATTTGAGAAGAAAAAGAGACAACATATATATATATATATATATTTTATATTGCCTTACTCCGCCAGTCGCTTCCTCTCTAAACAAACTGTAGGGAGTCTTTACAATATACCCCAAGGCGAGGGAGGAGTTACATTTCTGGCATACAGTCAAAAGTGTTACGGTCATTTGCTTCTACATAAATAAAAGCCTCTTTTACGATCTAAATTATCCACACGCTGTACTGCTGATTCTGTAAATCACTTCAATTTCACCGAGCTCGCTTGCGGCTTACCGGATCTCATTGCTTAAGGTTCTTCTCTTTCACTCTTTCTTCTTCTTCCTGTTTTCCGTCTCTCTCCTTTCATCGCTTAAGTAATTCAGATCTTCAACGTTGAATTTGTGACTCTTGTTTGGATGCCGAGGAAGCGTGATAATTGACGTTCTCTCGGCTGCCGAACCGAGTATTTACCTCTTACAGGATTTAGTATAAGCATCGCCTTGTTAGAATTAGGTTTCCGACTACACTTCCCGATCTGAGTTGAGAGAACTGTTTTAAATCACGAAGTAGAAAACTAAAATACGAGGAGCAAAGGAAAATCCCTTTGCTAATTTAATATTACCTTATTATGCTACATGCGTATTCCTTTTAGTTTGTGTAAATGTTGGTGAGATTAGTGAATACTCTTTAGGGCAAGGGAAAAGGAAGTTTTCAGTTATGGGGTCTGCATTTGAAATCATAATCTGAACTGAGATGCTTTCATGAAACTGAAGGATCTAATGTCTTGCACGATAGTGTGTCAATGGCATCATGTGGAGCCGACATTAACGTTTGGTACTGAATTCCATTGTATAAGAAGATCTGCTGCTTAATTGAAGAGGATGGTATTGGTTCTGAGTGAGATCTATGTGAAAATTTTAGGTTTAAGTTTTGTCTTATTGGCAAGTTGGAGAGAAGAATTATTGTATTTGGGTACAATTGTTGCTGCTTTTACTTGTATTAACTATAGCAAGAC